TGGAAAAGCTGTGCTGGCTTCAAAGGGGAGTTATAACAGATTTTTATATATGATCAGCACTTAATCAGATCGGCGTATGGAGTGTTCGGTGCAAGCCATGTGGGCGCTCATTAATATCCAAAGCGTCCTTCTCACACTCTTGTTCGATGCGGATGACGGAGCGTGTCAGGAATGATGGATTTGGCGCCGCACCAAACCCATTCTTCACTAGTTTGTAAAACCAGCAAGCGACAAAACTGTATCATATCGTTCGCATGTTGTCGCTTATCCGCCTCAACAACTGGCGCAGAAGAGTTTGCCGCGCGCCAAACCCACCCTCCCTGACACGCCCCATCATCCGCAGCAGACAAGGTTGCGCAGAATTGGTATCCAACCAGCTCGCATGGTAATGCTGTTCATTACCCGTTTCCAGCCCTCGGCGTTAAAGTCGATAATTTCAATCATTACTGGTCCATAGCTCGTGAATCTAATAATTCCAACTATATCAAGTTTATAATGTTAGCCCATTACCCCTGCTCTGCCTTATACCCAAAAACCGATAACGGCAATCAATACTGGTCAATCAGAACTGTATCGCTTTTATCAACAGTGAACTTTTCAACAATCCTGCCGATTACCCAGAGAGGAACAACCTTCATTCGAAGAAAATCATAACAACTTAGCCGTAGATGCTGAAGATCACTCGAAACGCTTGGAAATTAGGGGAATCAACGGAAAACTTATTTAAACATCTGGCTGTATAAAATGTGAATGGAGTGGCAAAATAGGACGAATTAGAACTGTGCTACAAGAGGTAAACGATTCATCACGACATCGCAAACAAGAAAAAAAATACAGAATACAAAATATTGTCATGCAGTTTCAGACTTCTGGTCCTTCGCCACCAGGTACAAGCATCGTTATGTGGTTTCCATTCAACAAAATCGTGTCCAATTTCGTCACTCGTTTACCGTCCGGGGTCTGCTCGTATTCGACCTGGACGGTTAAGAATTAAAGACTGAATCGCTTAGAGAAATTCGTAAAAAGAAAAGGAAGCCCAGGTGGTGAGGGAATTGAAGGCAAGTCACTTTCTGCCGTTAGGGAGGGGGGAGGGTGGATTTCAGCTACGAAAGTTTCCAGCCCACGAAAGTCCTCCTCTGATGGCGACTTGACATACCCCCCTCCGGCGGCGCCTCGGATTCGTTGAACCTACACCCCGTTGAAAAGGCAGACGAGCACGATAAGAAGCCCAGTCTCGCCTGCTGCTCCCCTCCCAACTATCTTAACATCGGAAATTGCACATAATAAGTCAATCATTCAGAGAGCTAAACAATTCTGAAGACTTCATGCATAGGTACATGAGAGTTTTCCAAAGAACATACCACATCCTCCAAAACCATGTTGACATAATCATCGAATCCCATCAAGGTCCCGACAATTTCCTTCTCTCCTGAAAAAACAGTATGGTGGGAACGAACCATGTTCTTTCTTTAGAGAAGTTTTATAATGAGATTGGCCCCGGAAAAACATTTCTGAGAAGCCTAGGATCCCGCGCTGCGTTGTAGGCTGACTAAAATGTGTCTTCGCACTTCCTAGCACGACTACGTTTCCCAAATGTTGAAGGAATTCTGCTGTTATTTGTTCTCAGAAAACGACCTACCTACCCTAAAACCCCATCAATTTCGTCTTCGTCAATCGTACATGTCTCGCTGCGAGGGTCCAGAGTTATTTTCAGGGCGTCTACTGGCCGGCGGTTGAAGGGAGGTCGCAAAAGAAGAGGGAATAGAGAAGGAACAAAAGAAAAGAGGGAAGAAGGGAGGTTTCGTAGTTGACAAGTATTCTGGGACTCCTTTCGCGGCACGTGCGTAGCAAAAACTGAGTGGTGCGTTGAACACTCAACCAATTTTGGAAGCTCGTCCGTTTCGAGAATTCTTTCATCCGAAGGAAGAAACCAAAATAATAGAAACAGCAAATAATTCTGAATGAATCCAGGGGAATCTCAGTATGTGAGCTATTTAGTTCAGAGATCATTATGGGGGCTTCTT